CTGCTCACAGAAAGGTACATTCATTTGAAACGAAATGAGGCTCCATCTTTTTCAGGTTTGAAAAACAAAAACAATTTCTTGACAACGAATCAATGACCATCAGTGGTATTCTGCACTAATACACAATAACTTCGCTGCCCGTAAGCAATCGGATAAAGTCATCAAACCAGTGGTTGATAGTATGAACAGCGCCCACGCCGCTGGGGAACGATGTCACGCAAGCTGCCGAGCCCAAAGACCCGATAAAATTGAGTCGGCTTATGCGACAAGGGATAGGGTGCTTGGGGAGGGGTGGTGGTCTATATATGTATGCACTGATAACTAATCACTGTCAAGTGTGAACAATACTTTCATCGTATACCATGTCAGTGACAATATGAGGTATGGGTGGCCCAGTCTTTTACGCCGCCGCAATTGGATGTGAAGAGTTGTGTCCCTTATATGTGCCAGAAACCTATGATAATGGGTTCGAATCCTAGATTCGCATTGTTAATGTTTCTTGGTTTGTTATGACCACACCCGTGTTCGTGGTTTCACGAACTTGGAAAACTTTCCGTATCAAGCTGACACATACCATCATATAACTGAAATACTTTGAAGTAGCGTTAAACCAACTTCTCTCTCATTTGGAAAGAACAATTCGTTATTAGAGTGAAAAAGTTGAAAATCCTATCTTCAAAAACTAGGGCTTTAGCAAGAGAGCTATTTCCGAAAAAAAGTTTTTTTTAACAGGAAAAGAGTTTAATTTTCTTTAATACCAAAAGTATACTGGCATCTTAAGTCCGTGCGTACGCTTGACCTCTGACGTCTTGTATCTATCTCTCACAGAAACCAGAGCGTTCTTTCTACATGCCTACCGTACTGGCCAAACAATACCGTCAGCACAGCTAAACATGCTCTAAGCAGAGACAGGAAGAGTTGTTTAAACGCTTAGCAGTTGTAGCGAGGGAGAGCGCCGCAAACCGGTGTATGTTGACATGCGCATTGCTGGAAAATTCCTGGTCTACTACGCTGAGAGATGTTGGGGTTATTTCACTGTGTTATGGTCAGCTTGGTGTATTCCACACCACATTGCGTCCTATCTAACCCCAATCTAACCTCGCCCCGGCGTTGAAGCGTGTTGGTTTTGGGCTGTGTAATGGTTTAGCTGGGTGTCGTGGCGCATCAAGTCATGTGTTGTCCTACCGAAGGGGATGTCGCGGTTCCCTGCCCCGGCCCATCCACCCTCTTGCTTCAGCCACACCCCTGTAGCCTCACCCCCCACACACCTTTCCTCACTCACATCCCTGTAGCCAGCCTCACCCAATACACCTCTAATATCATCCACACGCGTCTCTCCACATTTACATCCTTGTAGCCGCACCCTCACACCAACTCTAACCTCACCTCACCCCCCTCCCTCCGCCCCCGCCTTTCCCACTCACACCCCTGGTCACCACCCCCTTTGTACACTCACACCCCTGTAGCTTCAACTCCCCCTGCACACCCTGCAACCCCCTCCCGACTTGCACTCAAGCCCTGATTGGTGGTGCCCTACCCCCTCCCCCAACCCTTTATTTTGTACGTGCACAATTTCCCAAGTCCAAAACTTAGGTACATTTAATAAGGTCAAGAAGCGCAATACATGGATACAAGACATGCCCTACCACTGCAGCAGACCCACCCGCCTTAGAGTATGAAACTTCCATCAATAACAATGAATCATACTAGACTAGTACTGATTTCACTTACAATATAGTAAATACATTTGGCTAATCGAGACTGTCCTGAATTAACTGGACAAATATAAACGTACTGGGATGTACATACGATAGTAGATACAAATTTCTTTAATAAGTATATTTCGGACAAATCATTTAGAACATGAAATTCGGCTTCTCACACAATGGACAAAGTCGCTGTTCCTACAGTAATTTCGGTTTTGTCCATGTACCCTTTTCAATCATAACATACGACTAAAAAGTTAAAGATCATCTGATCCATTCATATTACTATACTAAATCTGTCATATGCTAGGACAGATTAACTATAAAATATAAAAGAATCATTAACTCTTTCAGAGTAGGATATATGTGAGCTTAGTCTGAATCGTGAAAGGGATGTCCTGTACTTTGTAATGTTAATATTCTTGAGATACATTTCAAATACAGTATATGGATTCTTTCAAAAATAAATACTCAGGTTTCTAGGTAGTCTGGCATACGCATGTATATGTATATGCACATGTATATCGTGGATTGTCTGTTTAAATTCCGATAAAAAGCCAACATACTTTACGATAGATTGGAAAACCAAACATAACCAAATCCGTACTAATTTGAAACATCTCTGATCAAAGTGACTCAACTTTTTTAAGTATGATAGGTTAATTCTTTATTAGGTTTGATAAATAATACTGACATATCTATTTGGATCACCACTATTTACTAATCCGTTAATGATTAGGAGTAATACTCCTAATTCGCCATGTGTAAAAACTGACTGTGTAGAGGATTCAACACATAATATTTTGTTTCATAAATCTAAGGTGATCTCTCTCAATTCCCTTAGCTTCTCTGAATCCACACGTTGTGTAAAGAACAACCTTGCTGCTGCCCACCACGTTGTCAAGCACCAGACGTCCCCCAACCCCTCTCATTAGTGTCATCGTCGTCAGAACGCTCCTCAACGCGCCGTCTCGTCCCAGATGCATGGAAAGCAATTGTGCCGCCTACCTACCCATGTCAACAGTATAGCATAGGGAACAATACTGAGCAAATATGGGCATGTTATCAAATTAGATGCCCCTTCTGTTATTCCATACCCCCGGACTTGAGTATGCTTGAGGGGATGTTTGAAGGCGCGGGTTCTATAGATGAACACACTACACGACGACAGTGTCAACACAAACGTCAGCATTAACGTTGCGCGTAACGCGCACCGGAGATGGGAGGGGATTTTCAGGAAGCGTTTTCAGAATACTTTGCATTTTCCTATGCAGGGCATACGTCACGGAATACCAGCATATCCGCCAAACTCGTTGGATATGACAGCCTAGCCTCTATAACAAACATCGTTTGTTTTGTTTGGTGATATGAACAATTTCAGAAATGTTATTACGCTGATGAAAAGGAAATATGTCAATACTAGAAATAGGGAGGAATGGAAATAGCGACCTTGTAGAACACCAATATAGGAATTATTGTTGGTGTATTCAGACATATATAATCATAAACATGGTTGTTATTATTGGGGATGCAGGTGTTTGTAGAGGGTGGTCATGGTTTATGTAGATCAAATGTAAGAGACAGTGAGTCTAGCCGCGTCTATGGCTGCAAGGTTGACTCAAGGCCCGCCTCTAACCATGCCGTTGTAGGTGGACGTAGATTTGTCAGTTTGGCAATGGAACTTTTATCCACTTACTGTTTGCCTGAAATATTCTTAGGTTTAAAATACGAGTCGATCACGAGGAGGTTCATACAGCGAGTGAGTTCTGTTTTACGCCGCTTTATGCAATATTCCGGCAATATGGATCACCGTGGGGACATGAATTGGCTTCATTGTACCCATGTGGGTAATTGAACCCGGATGTGTGACGAACACAATGTGTTTATTGTGGTACCTCAATACATGTATATGTGCTGATTTCCTTTAAACCTCCAAAATTAGCGCGTGTATAATTATTTGTCTATATCTCTTTCGTGCATCTACGTACCCACGTAAATTATTGAACATTTACAACAAAGATATTGATATCTCATAGTTTCTATACAGTCGTTATTACTGGTGAAGGAAGGAAATAATGGTAAATTTCTCAAGGATATACACCTCTTGGCGTCCTATTGAAAAAATATATGTAAATGATCATTCGATTGAATATGTTCCCGTGAATTTTCAGGTGAACACGTGCTTTTTCATGTGTTTGTGACAGGTGTCACCGTTGGGACAGGATACACTCACCTTTTCGCGAACACCTGGTATCGTCACTATTTAATAGTGATTCATAAACACATGCTTATAATAGAGTCAGAATTGTACAAGTGATTTCTTACGGTTATGAACATGGTTTTGTCGCTTATATTTTTATATGATGCAGAATCATAGACAAGATCATTAATACAAAAATAGTTAACCATTTAAAAAACCTTTGAGTCTACAAGCCCGAACTGGGCTCCTAACATCATCTTCATTATATTTCATTAGTATATGGACTACCTGTATTTGGAGTAGATGGACTTTGGACTAGTGGCTAAATCAGGCTGAGACATTACTAAAGGTGCTTATACTTTTGTTGTAAATAAACATAGATGGATACTTCAAAGATAACATTTGACACATCTTTGAAAAGGGATATGTTATTGGGCAACCTATTGAATCAAAGTAACGTCTAATGAAGTATTCCGCTTTCAGTGCCCGAATGTTCTGGTGTGAAATGAGGGGCGGCAGGTGAACAGCGTTGTTTTTAATTAGTCAGGGAGCAGATCTTTCACCCATTTCGATTTTGTCTTGTGCCTTTATACGGCATTTAATGAAACCTTACGCAATGAAGATGGAATGTAAAATAAATATTTACGCTATACACATTGTGAAATTATTTTCGAAAACACTTTTGTATTTGAAAGCTTTGTAGTTTTAACATGTTTATGAATAGGGTTTTTTTCAATGGAAGAAAATGAATTTGTAATGTAATAATGCCTTTGTTGATGTCAGACAATATTTTTTTCTATTTTGTGCTATCGTTTCTAATTCACATTGACAGGATCATGACTGCTTCACCAAGGATTTAACACCCGAAGACTAAGTCGAATTTACATACTTGTAAATGTTTGGATACTTTAATAATTTATAAAGGTTTACATGCTTGGAAAATTGAATTCAGGAAGTTTAACAAGCATACCAAGTCTCATACAAAATTGTGTAACCAGTGATTGACTAAGCTTTGAAATAACTCGCAAACAATCTGAAATATAAAATTCAAATGGTTGGCAATTAAAGGTTCATAGTAAGATTAGTTAGCTTACCTTCTAGGGAAGGAAAGGGTTCAACACCACCGTCCAAGCAGTGTCCTGTCTGTGTACGACGCACCTTGTGTTAGACACCCAGGTTCCGGGTAGAGAAACACACTATCCCACCTGGACCAATGGCAAGTCCTATACCTTCAGTGGTTCTTCCACAACTGATGGGCTCGACCCAACCCGAGCTGAGCTCCACGTCTGACGTAACAGTACACACGGTGGCTGGATGAGCTAATGAAAGTGTTCCACCAGTGCCAGCCTGCCTTGACGCACACAGGTGAATTTAAAAAAAGATTGGGGATCGCTCCAGTATTTCTTTATCGATAGTTTTGGCGTTAAATCTCACTCCAATGACATGACACATCAATTAATTCAACGTTATTTTGTTTCGCCTTGGGAATGTTTCAGAGTAGCAGACGACACTGTCCGGTTGAAGTTTCCAGTTCTGAATCCGGCGTTGTAGCAGACGATCTAAATATCTGCTTCTGTGAAAGTCCTACTTATTTGACCATGTCGCCACAATGTAACAACGATCCGAAGTCTATCCAATACAGTCGAAGCATCTGTTTCTCCGAGCGAGCAGACGACGTTCACCTACGACGTCGGTCAGTGATCGTCTGCTGAACCTGGCGACGGACGTTCAGTATGAAGCCAGCCCTCTAACTGGTAAACACACGCAGGGACGGTTGACACTTTTTCTATTTTTACTTTTCCCTTCCATCTTACCTGGATATGACCAGTGGGCCTCACACCTGTAAGGCTGTGGTCACGTGATCCCCTCTCTTTTTTCCCCGCCCGGTGGCGCTATTTACTCTCGTCGTCTGCTGTTTGATCGCGAGTTTTTAGTGTTATTTGGAAGATTTCGTGTCAAACAGACAAGAACCGTTACGATACCGCGGCCACTTACGGACAAATATGCGGAGAAAGAAATTAACAGCGAAAGTATTTGAGCAGAAAACTTGCAACTCTTGCTCAGTTCATAAACAAACGTTTGAGAAAACAATGGAAGCATTGATATCACCAGGACTCTTCTCTCGCCATGCAAGCCAAGGTCACGAATAAACTGGACTCGGTTGTCTTCCGCATACACAGAGACCAGGGGGACTCCCCTTTCCCCATAACCCTTCACTGTCAATATCTAAAATCGAAAAGTCGGACCTAATTAGACTGTGGTTTTGTTTAAAAGAGAACGTTTCAATAAACCGAATTTGGCTCAAGCAATTTGTGAAAAGGAAATGGCACTGTTTGATAAATTCCCATATTTCTATTGAAAGATCTCTCAGGAAACGTGTTTTTCCCCAAAGTAACATTCTTGTTGAAAACAGACGAATATTGTCATTGTAGGGTTGTACCCCACACACCGGAATTGGAATTGGCGGTTTGTAACAGAGCTGATCAACTGTTAAGGCACGATGTTTCGAAATGTAGTCAGGTCGTTAACTTAACGTTTCCCTTTTCCAGTGCTATTCCAATACAGCCAAAATAATGTTCACAAAGTAAAGATGACCGCCTCCGTGGAGAAGTGGATAGAGCCGAAGGTCCGTGGTTCGACTCCCGGTTCCGTAATACCAAAAGACGTTAAAGATAATACTTGTTGTTACCCTGCCTGGCGCTCTGCTGCACTAAGTGGATAAACAAGGACTGGTCGTCATGAAGTCATTGTGCTGTATCTGAGTGGGGTTTCCCTGTGTCCCTGTTAAAACTGCGGCATGGTATCTCAGTAGACAATACAATTCCTAAAATGGAAGAAATATTATAGAGAATTTCAAAAAAGAATCACCCTTAATCATCCCTCTTCCATCAACTGGTGTTTCTGGAAGAGATCAACGTGATAATTCAAGTTCTATTCGCACTTGTTTTTTTAGTTGTTTTTTAACCAACCGTGTAAAATACATTTTCCCCTCAACCACACCGTTTGATCCCGAAGGTACCACGTACAACTAAAGTTGTTCAAATGATCCCAATTGTCAGATTCAAGGCCATACCCAACGTACATGCCATTGTGTATACCGAGTCTTTACAAAGTGAGGTACCCTTGGTCCTGGCAGCTCCGCCGTCACTGGTGGTGTGCATTGCTGCACTCAATATGTAATATGTGTATGTTTCACCGTTGGTTTCAAGGTCGACCGGCGCCATGAATCACCTGTATGTTTAGGCGAGTCTGGGCGACCACAGGGGCAGGACTTAATTCTCGGCCTTCCGCAAGGTCACGACTGACTATACATAGCACTGTCCACACAGCTTGAAAAACTACAGTACCGGTCAAATGTAAGTACACGAACATGATTCTCAGTGTTGTTGTATACTGTTTCAGTTTAACATTTTTTTTGTTATGTTGGATATGGCGAATATAAGCTTTGTTATATATTTACTGACTTACGTGATGATCGTGACTTCGGATCCCATATTCGTTCCGATAATGATCTTTAGTCAGCCAGCACTATACGAGTGCTCGTGGGTTTGTTGTGACATACGGTTGAAAGTGGCGTAGAACCAAACTCACTCACTCACATGTGGCAGCTGCATTCTTGGTCTAATGGATAGCGCGTCTGCCTGTGATTTTATCGAAAAAATACACGGTCCCCCGATTGTTGAAAAAAGTGCCTGCCACAAACAATACATTATAGCAAGGTATTTTTCTCTTAAAAAACAAGCTTTCAGTTTTAAACTTAAATTATCTGATTTTGTAGACCAATGTTTTATTGTGGAATAACCCACTTTTCGTTCTTCATTGTTCTTTGCGATTTAAACGCAAACAAAATTGAAGTCATTTATGTGAGTCTAGATTCTAGAGGCCATCAGTAAGCAGGAGTTACTGTATAATTAGTGAATCAGATTTAGAAAATCGCCATGCTATAGCTTTTTTTAACCATTATGACATTCACGAAATTGAACCTATTTAGAGATATATCAATTATATTATATTAAGTCATCATCAATATCAGAGAGACCACTAGAATCGTTCCACAAACTAAACAATGAAAATAAAGATGATTTTACAAAGGGGAACTTCCTTTTGCAGGTCACTGTACATGTCCAAAGTTGGACGGCTGAAGTGGCCGTCAGTCGTGTAATCCAGCAGATATATAGATGTTGGCAGACTGCGAGACACAGACAGCTGAGTAAGTGTTCAGGATTTTCTGTGGCTATTTTTTCTATGTTGACAGTGGAAGTTGGCCACCGATGTACAGAGTGGTCAAGAAGTTAGAACCCCTGTGTTAAAAATATCGCGAAATTGCCAAGACGGTTTGAGATTAGCTGAACACTGTCACTTGTACCTGGCTTTCACTAAATATTGCTGTGTTTACAGCTTGTTGCAATTGGTTAGCAACATTTTTCATATCTGAGGTGTATACTGGCGTATACATTAAATCATTTCCAAACATGCCGTCGCTTATTTTCAATGCGATTATCGATCATTTCTAAAGCTATTGTCGATCACTTCAAATTATATTGATATGTGATCATTTCGAACCTTATCGTCGATCATTAATAATCCTATTATCCTATCAATCGTCTATAATTTCAAAAGCTTTCGTCGATAATGTCTGACCACATTGTCTGTGATTTCGCCTCATGCTCTCGATAATTTCTGACCACATTGTCTATGATATCGCATCATGCTCTCAATAATTTCTGAATATATTGTGTATCATTTCACATCATGTTGTCGATAATGTCGTATCATATTGTCTGTAATTTCACATGATATTGTTGCCAATTTCTTACCATATTGTCTATAATTTCTCATCATGTTGTCGATAATTTCTAAACAGATTGTCCATCAACTCACATCACATATTGTCGATAATGTCTGATGATATTGTCTGTAATTTCCTACCATGTTGTCGTTAATTTCTTTCCATATTGTCTTTCATTTCACATCATATATTGTCGATAATGTCTGATGATATTGTCTGTAATTTCCTACCATGTTGTCGATAATTTCTTTCCATATTGTCTTTCAATTCGCAGCATATATTGTCGATAATGTCTGATGATATTGTCTAATTTTTATAATTTTTTAAAATCTTTTTTTTTATTATTCCATTTCATGTATATTGTTACAAGTGTAGGTATTAACATGTATATATATGACAGTATTAACACAAGTTATAGTTTTCATAGGTTAGGACAGGCAGGTTGTTTAGGATATGTCGTCTTCTCAAACTGAGAGGGAGATTATAAATATTTGTTTACAAGAAATAGATGATTACTAATTAACAGGTAGTATGTTTCATCTGCTTCGTTAGATTATGAGATGTAAGTTTTGCCATTTCTGAGCATATTGGTTAAATTGATTATTTTTTTTAGCGATAAAACTTTCCAAACAAATTGTGTCTTTTAGTAGTGAAAGAAATTGCTCGAAAGATAAATCTTGTTGTTTTATGTTTGATATGTAGATGAATCTTTTTGCTAGTATAATAATATGATTTGTTACATGGTTTTGAGTGGAAATACCAAAAAAGATATTAAGTTTCGAAAGGATAAAATTTGTTTGCAGGTTGTTATTTAGGAAGTTTTCAACTTTAAGCCAAAATTGTTGAACAGATTGGCAATCGAAATATACATGAGACATATCTTCAGAAGCAGTTTTACAGAAAGTACAATTATCTTCATCGACAAGTTTCATCTTGAATAATTCTTTCTTAGTGTAAATTATTCTGTTTATAAATCGATATTGAAAATCTAAACGTTTACAATCGCGCGTGCATTTTCTATAACATAGAAGTATATCTTTCCAATCCAAACCTTGAGGAAAAACCATATTCCAGTGTTCTAATGCTTTCGGTACAGTATCCTTCCTAATTAGTTCATCATAAAAAAGTCCTTGATTTTTTAACGTTATTAAAGAAGTGTTTACATATATTGTTCAGCTGAACTACATTAACATCAAGGGTTTTGTCTCTGATTTGAAATCTCCAACTCTTTGGAATATTGTTCAGTAATTTTTGAAGGTCTAGAAAAGTTCCCTGGATCTTATATTTTTGTTTGAAATTTTCAAAACTAAGAAAACCGTTGTAGTCGCAAAGGTCTCTAACACTCTGGACACCTTGATTAAACCAGTTTTTTATAATATAAGATGATTTAAATAAATGATTCAGCCAGAGTGGTTGATTCAGAATGTGTTCTAAATCATATTCATACAAACACATTTTTTGGTAAAATATCTTCCAAGCAGACAATACATCTCTCCATGTACAGCATTAGAACCAAGTTTGAAAAGATGTTTTAGAGGGAAGATTGTTGTAGAATCTTCATACTTTTTTATATACTTTTGTAATGAAGATAGTTTGAGAGCATTGATAAAACATTCAATGATATTGTCTATAATTTCCCTATCATGTTGTCGATAATTTCTGACCACATTGTCGCTATCATGTCACATCATGCTCTCAATAATTTCTCACCATATTGTTTATAATTTCACATCATGTCGATAATTTCTGATGGTATTGTCTATTATTTCCTACCATGTTGTCGATGATTTCTCAAAACATTGACGCTATCATTTCACATTATGCTCTCAATAATTTCTGACCTCATTGTTTGTCATTTCGCCTTATGCCCTCGATAATTTCGTACCACATTGTCTGTGATTTC